AAAACAGATCTGCAAAAAAATCGAGCAAAAAAATCGGATTTGGTCCACATTTACCTGCGGTCTGAACATAGCCTTTGTGTTGTGAGAACCAAAAAAGAATGTGAATAAGGCAGTAGAAAAACTGGATATAATTATCCTCTGAAAATCCTTTTAAGCCAAGCAAAAGGCTTATACTGTCAAAAGAATTTGTTTCAAATAATTAAATGAATTATAGCGCTGACACAAACTGGCTACAAACAGCAGCTTATTCTCACTTCTTCAAGGTGTTACATAAGTCTGCAGTCATAAGGGGGTGGCTGGTTATTTCTTATGCTTGTGATCTCATTTTCTCTTTCTGTCTTGCTCAGACCGTGTGTCAGGATGTAGGTGGGGATGAAGCAGATGATGACGAGCAGCAGGTGTTTATTTGAGTATTTTAGTTTTTATAATTTAGTCACAGTTCACTGTCAGCAACGATACAATTAACCTAAAAGGACTGTGACAGAGTGGAATAATTGAGTGTTTGTGTCTCAGGCGGAGTATGATGCCATGCTGCAGGAGTTTGCCGGTGAAGGGATTCCTGTTTTAGCCTCGGCTGTACCAGCTGAAACGTTCTACCCTCACCTCAATGACCTGCTGCCCCTCATCATGAGCAAAGCTGTGAGTCTCGAATTCTCTCATTCTGCATTCACAGATGAAGGTCATACTTTAAGACCTATTCAAATCAAGAGCATCATCAATCGGCAGTCTCTCAGACGGAGCGTGATGTGACTTGCATTTGAGAATGAATTAAATGTTTTACTTGTACCAGATATTATGTACCAGATATTTTGTTGCTCTCCTGGAATGAATGACTGAATTGAATTAAGGTATAGGTGATATAGGAGTATATACATTTTTATTTTATTTTTATTTTGCTAAGGGAGTTTATCTTCTTGTTTTTAGATTTCTTTTAGTTGTCAATATTTCCATCATGAATTAAAGTCTCCTTTACTCATTCTTAAATGGCATTTCATTTTAATTGATATTTTATAATAAACAAAACTACAAAAATATGTGTAATGTATATTTCCATTCAATATTTTAGGGTCTTTTATGCTCACCAAAGCTGCATTTATTTGATAAAAAATATAGTAATATTGTGAAATATTTTTGAAGTCACCCTGTAGTCAATAATTGTATCCCTTAAAACTCATATTTGATCACCAAAATGACCTATTTGAACATTTTTTCTTCGGAAAAAAATTCTTCATGCCTTAATTAGGCAAGAGTGTAGTTACATTTAAGCTATTTTAAGTATACGAGGTTCTATGAATATGCAAATTAGCCCCGCCTCCATTCACTCACACCAGCTCAGAGATCCACTAGTTGACAATCACACGTTGACGTGATTAAGGAAGTTTGTGACAGCAGAAACACCGGTGATTTCAAACCGCGTTTTGACCGTCTTTGGTTCACTGCGGTTTTGAGGAGAAAATACTCAGCAATGGCGTTGACTTATGAATTTGCACATGGTTTGTCTTAAAGCATATTAAAAACACCACATAGACATATACACAACATTCACCACAGGGGGACCATTTTCTTTAATGTAATTTATTCCTGTGGTTGAAAAGCTGAATTTTCAGCAGTCATTACCAGTCTTCAGTGTCACATGATCCTTCAGAAATCATTCTAATTTGCTAATTTGCTGCTTATGAAACATTTCTTATTATCATCAGTGTTAAAAACAGTTGTGCTGCTTAATATTTTTGTGGAAACTGCGATACCTTTTTCATTGATTCTTTGATTAATAGAAAGTTCAAAAGAACAGAATTTATTTGATTAATCTAACATTATTAATTCGTTGGTAAAGTCATTTCTTTAACAAAATGAAATGGTTAATTAAATCCTTAAATTAAATGCGTCCATTTCTTGAGCATTTCTAGCATCACCCTTTTTACTTTTTTTTTTTTTTTTTTATAGAAATCCTCATGCACGGAGGCAGACCGCTCCTTCTCTGTTGGTACGATTGGAGAAACCCTGCACTCATTGGCGGGTGTGGCTGGAGGCAGGGCGGTTGCTGGCCGGCTGTCCAATCGGCTGCTTCCGTTGCTTGTGGCTGGAGTGAGGGACAGTGATGCAGAAGTGCGCAATAACAGTGTGTATGCACTGGGAGCTCTCGCACAAGCCGCCGGACCCATCGTTGCCTCGTATCCTTCACAGATCCCTTTGTGCATGTGTACCTGTTCTCAGATCTCCATGGCTCTGTTAACCTTAACCCCGGTGCTTCAGTGATTACCCCATGATGCTCTCCCTCTTCTCCAACCTACTCTCTAAAGAGTCTGACCTGAGAGTGATTGACAACCTGTGTGCTGCCCTGTGCAGGATGATCATGAGCCACGTGGAGGGGGTCCCACTCGAGCAGGTCACTTCTGTCTTCATTTTAGTATCTTTATTATTAAATGGATAGTTCACACAAAAATGTAAATTCATTTACTCCCTTCCATGTTGTTCCTTATACTTTGGTTCATCTTCGAAACACAAATGAAGATAAACGGAAGCTCAAGCATGTTCGCTACCAATGAGGTTCATTCTCGTGTGTTACACAGCAGGTTTGAGCTTCTCAAGAACCAATGAGGTTCATTCTCATTGTTACGCAGAACCATAATGCACCTCACAGGATAGATACTTACTGAATGATACCGCGTTTTCATTAACTAAATGATTCCGCGTTTTAAACGAATCGTTTGAGCGAAAGATTCAATGACCATTCATAAACAACTGCCTCATTCCTGAACGAATCAGCTGCTTGAACCAGTCGTTTGAATCAGTGACTCACTCATTAAGACGGTCACCTGCCGCCACCTACTGGTGGTTTAGTTTCGTGTTTAAAACTATCATTCTTTCCAACATTTCTTATTTGTATATTCAAAAAATATTTAAAACAATCATAACATTATTTAATGCAGTTGTAATTTTTCAGTGTAAATTATTTAATTTGATTGGTATCAGCCCTATAGTGTCTCATTATTATAATTTAATTTATTTATCAAATTTAAGAATTTAAAATGAAAGATGAAGCATTAATTTAAAACGATTAGGGAAAAATGCCATTTATAAAGGTTAACATTATCATAAATAGGCAGAGTTAAATATGTCAAAGCTGACTGAACACTGATGAGAATATTGCTTCAGAATAAATTATAATTACAACACACAAAAAAAATCCTATTTTTACTGGACAAGCAAATGTTTTACTCAGACAAGTGAATGACCAATTTACTTAAGCACATGGAAAGGCTTAATGTCGAGCCCTGAACAGAGTTTTGGGTGATACAACAAAAATAAATAAGGTTATAATACCCATTTTACCCTTTTCTCGCAGGTCTTTCCTGCTCTGGTGGCTCGTCTCCCTCTGAAAGAGGACATGGAGGAGAACAAGACCGTCTACAGCTGCCTGACCTTCCTCTACTCACACAACCCTGTGCTGGTAAACGCTCAGTTTCACTCCCAGCATGCTTTGCTCACAGCTCCTTATTGAATCTTGTCCTGTCAATGGGCTGATTGTATTTTATTTCTCACTCCAGGTTGTTAGTCAGCTCAGGCCAATAATATCTGCTGCCGCTCATCTGTTGGGCATGAAGGATGTCGATAATGGTAAGAAAGTGTTTATACCATTGGAATATTTTAATTTTATATTATGAATGACATTCAGAATCCATCATTTTTATTTTGACTCATATTTATTCTTTTAGAAACACAAAACAGCCTGATCCTGCTGCTCCGAGGTCTAGCCCAGCATCACACTCAGGAATTTGAAAGTGCGGTAATGTCACTTCCCGATGAACAGAGAAACAAAATGACCATTGCTGTCACTCAATCATAACACCTGTCCCTTATTCAAAGTATCTATCCCCTCCCCTTCCAGAAGGCCTTCCACTCTTGTGAAAGCCAGCCAAACTAATAGATTTTTTTCTATTACATTAGAAATGGGCTTAGACAGTTAGCAGAACATGCGCTCACTGGCATACTCTGCTTTCTGTATTGCAGCAGAGACATTGAGACTATTTCCTCTTAATTTATTACAAAGGTCACTTATGCTTCTTGTCACTTTTATTTTGTTTTACTAAGAGTTTTTTTTTTTTTTTTTTTTTTTTTTTTGTCTCAATGAATCTTCTGCTTTCCCATCTATATTGAATATTCCATGAAATTCTGGCTTATTTGAGTGTGAAGCTTTGAATTGCCCTTGCGGTGAAAGAAATATATTTCTATGAATTGTTCACTGTTGTTTGTTTATTTCTGGTATGCATGTCCTGGGAATATTCCATGAATATGTTGAACTTGTTATCCAGAATTAGTTTAAGAGTCCACCATATTTCTGAAAAAGCACATTTTTATTATTATAGAAAAATGCAGTACAAGGTTTAATGTTGCAGAATTAGATTATACCTCATTCTGGATCATTTTAACTCTATTGCATCAGTAATATTCTTTTATGCATCAGCAAATTAAACCAACACAAATACACTACCATTTAAAAGTTTGGGGTCGGTAAGATTTTTAAAATGGTTTTAAAGGCTGCATTTATTTGATGATAAATTGTGAAATATTATTAGAATTTAAAATAACTGTTTCTATTTTAATATATTTTAAATGGAATTTATTAGTGTCATGGTGAAGCTGAATTTTCAGCATCATTACTTCAGTGTCATGATCCTTCAAAATTCATTCTAATATGCTGATTTGCTGATCAATAATCATTTATTATTATTATTATTAATGATGAAACGGTTGTACTGCTTAATATTTTTATAGAAACCATGATACAGTTTTTCAAAATACTTTGAATAGAACGTTTAAAAGAATAGCATTTGTTAAAATAGAAATCTTTTGTTGCATTATAAATGTATTTACTGTCACTTTTGATCAATTTAATTATTCTTTGCTGCTTAAAAGTATATATTTATTTTAAAGTTTGGGATCAGGAAGATTTTTTTTTAAGTAGATGGATATAAATTATATATAGGTAAAAGTGTGTGTAGGTAAAGCAGTCACTGATGAAATGTATGCTGATTATTCTAAAATACAAAAATAGCAAGAGATTGAAACCTTTTTTAGTAGAATATTACCCACACAACTTTAGTTAAACAGCCACCTAATATAAATAAAATGCAGAATCCTTCACTTGCAGCATAGCACATCAAATTTAGACTCTTGCACAAGTTTAAAACGTCCAGAACCTGAATTGGGAATAGTCTTCTGTGTCGTGTAAGGTGTTAGATTGCTTTAGCCTAGCTGTCAAACGCCTTCCAATCACTCCTCGCTTGGCAAGTCTCGTTTTTCTTCTGTCTTCTGCCATTTGGGCTTGGACTGTGACACTGTGTCCGAGGCCAGAGTCATTTCCACCGGCTCGAGTTCATTTTCCGCTGGGAGGGGGGAGGGGAGACACAAGAATATTCATTGCCATGTTTATACGGTGGGTTATTTTTATGTGCATCAGACGAATTCTACACACAAACCCAGAAGAATTTGAGGTTGGGGAATAGGTATGTCGAGGGAGAAAGCGAATATCAATCGCTCTACAAACACGCAGGAGAGTGTGCTGAGCGTGCGAATACCAAACACACTTGCTCAGCAGCCACGAGCGTTATGTTAGCTCACCTCACTGATCTGCAGATGTCATCTGTTAGCTAACCGTCAGGAATGAAGCGTTCTATTACTGCAAGCCCTGACACTGCAGCCTAATGGAAACCGACGGACTGAAAAAATGCTGATGAAATTCACTTCAGCTGGATTGTAGTAATACTAGTTGTAATTAAGTGGAGATGAAGGATTTTTGTTCAATAGAAGTCGGCAATAACAATATACAATCTGTTTGGTTGCATTTAACATGGCTCCTCTTTCTTGACTGCAGTGTTAATAATGATTTTTGGGTGCATGTTGCTGATTTCATGTGTGCCGGAAGCCTATTACTTAAAGTCATTTCTTAGAAAAATTTACTTAGTGAAACTATTACCCACTTGCCAGAACAAATCAATCTGTGCAGCAAAATGCCATTGGAGAAACCATCATCTTAATGAGATTTCAACTGAAACACTGCTGTAAAGTACAGCAACCTTACTGAAGCTTTTTTAGTATTTTATACTATTATGTATATTATTATACTAAGGGTACATTTATACAAATTATTGTATTAGCTTTTATTTTTTAAATATATTTTTTTTAATTTTAGTTATTTTAATTTAAAAATATAATTTTATTAGGTGCTTTTGTCATTTTATTGATTCTTTTATTTTTTTTGTATATAACCTATTTTAGTTAGTTGATGATTTTCATGTGTTTTTTCGCCAAGTTTTTTTTATTTCATATTTATTTTCGGTAACTAACACCATTGCTTTACTGAATATGAAGTTCAATGAACTTTAGAAATCTATTCAGAACACGTTAAGCTGCATTTTTTTCCCAAAAATTTTTTCCCAAATCTGTTGCGGTGCGTGCAGTCCTACGTCACCGGACTAATTATAATGTATAAAGTTTTATCGTTACAGCATATTTATTCAGGTGCAATGTTTATACATTTTATACATTTTTATTTCATTTTTAGTTAGTTATTTTGGTACATCAAGTAAAGTTAAACAATGCAAGTGAGAAGTGTTGTTTTGGCAACTTGCTGATGAAATTAAGTTATCTTTTTCAGATTTTATCTCAAGTAAAGAAATGTTTTTTTTTTATGGTTTTAGGGGCTGTTTATTATATGACACCATTTTCAACTAAAACTGAAACATTTTTTTATGCATTTTGGCTCTTCATTTACACGACAATAGTGTTTTGGGGGCCTGAAAATGCAAACTTTTGAAAACAAAGTGCAAGTTTTTGAAAACGATAGCATTATCATCTCCATGTAAACTACAAAAACGCTAGTTAGTGAAAACGGTGACATCATGTGCATACATGTTACTTGTTCAGTCTATAGGCGCGTAGCATTTCTTTACAAAGTGACAATGCCAACCACTGGCCTGGCAGCATAATACAGCGTTTTAGACATTTTCGCGAATCCATTTGAATGGGGATAATTTTGACAACGCTGTCATCTTTACCCGAAAATCATAGAGAAAAACTTTATTTTATTAAATAAATAATACGCTTTTAATACGCCGTTGACTTGTAAATGTACCCTTAGTTTTAGTTAATTATAATTACCCTGCCTGGGAATATTAACTTGATCCTCTCCTTTGAGCCAACAAAAGTGTAAAATGAAATGATGTTTGCCAGTTAAAACTGGTTTAGCTCCTTCATGTCTCACCTGGTTGTGTGTGTCTCCACGGGAGGATGTCCACCCCGCTTCTGCAGAAGGAGCGGTCGGTGTGGGACTCGGTGCTGTAGAGAACCTCCTGACTCTGACGTTCTCCGGGATGCTGCGCTTTCACACGAACCTCCAGAACGATCACTTCCTTCTCCTTCTTCAGCTTCCCTGACTTCCCCTTCACCCGTGTGCGCTTAGTGTCCACCCACACCACGCGCTCCTTCACCGCTGATCTGGGTACACATAGAGAAATCAAGATATTAACAGAATATTTCACCCAAAATTAAATAGATACAACTGCATCTGTAAATTTAAACTCACTCTTCAATGCCGAGGTCAGCAAGTGTAGTGTTCAGGAATGGAAAAGCCTGGTCAGGGTTCAGAACTTCAATGGGCAGATGCACACACATGGGCACCGTCCAGTCCAGCTCGGCTCGCACCGTTTTGTCATTGGTGGGGGAGTCTAAGGGGCCGTCACCATTCACCTGCTTCTCCCAGTGCTGGACCCCATGCTGAACCTCTGGATTTTTTTCTTGGCCTGCCAGCTTGCCACTGGTGTCTTTAACTGGCAGCTGTGGCTCCTCTTTGTTTTCTTTCCTTTCGTCGATGATGATCATTGAGTTGATTCCTTTCATTCCTCTGTGGTTGAAATGGTAACCCTGATCTCCTCAAATCAGCTGATTTTCCAAATTTGAGATCCAATAAAACCTGATGTAGACGAGTCTTCCCAGGTGCTTCTCTCTCTGCCGTTGGGTTGAGAATGCGTGACGCTCTGAGAACACTGAAGTCCAGTGGAGATTTAAACGGTCTGTGTGAATGTGTGTAATGTGGCGCTGACGTGTGAGCTTTATTAGTCTGTCATAGGCTGACAAATTACAGTATGGAGAGTTGTTTATATTATTAAATCATCTTTCCCCTTCCCAATGCGTGTGTGTGCGCTACTTAAGTACTCTGTGAACAAACTAACTAGCATCTAACTAGCTCTACATAAGTGGAGTGTGTAAAATGGGAGCTTTGGCCAAAAATGCACCTGCACGTTGAAACAAAATCTAGTAATAAAGTGAAAATTAAAATAAATGAAAAGTGTCGATTTCAGGCGACATTAAATTTAAATCTGATCATGTTGCATCATACTTTTTACGCGTTTTATAGCGTTGGGCACTATAACCAATCACACACGACTCTGTTGAGCTTACGAATGCAATGGCCAATCAGAGGCGCTGATTAGTGTCCGCTGATCAGCGCACAAGCTAAATTTTGACTGAATCCTACACTCTCGCAAACACTCATAAACTGAAACATAAGCAGATTTGGTGATTCCGCTCTTGAGAGCATTAAAACTAATATAAATAGGTTTCGATCAATGCATTTTTTCAGCGTTAAGCAGTGTAGCCAATCACAAACATATGATAATTTCACGCCAATCAGACGTGTTTAAGTTAGAATCCCCTTACCCTCTGCATTATATTTTGCACCAGATATTACAAATTTACTAAATTAAGTCACTGCTATGTTAGGAAGCTTGTTTAATGGCACAGCAATTTATATGTAAATATGTCAATGTTTTCACAGTTCTTTTAACAACAAACAGGTACTAAATGCTGGAGAATCATTCTTTTAAGTTGATCTTATGGAAGGTGATCTTATGGAATTGAAAAAGTAATTAACATAACAAAAGTGATCCTAACACAACTACATTCTAAGCATGCAGTGCAGTTGTGTATTCCTGTCTGACAGGTGATTACTAGAACTGAGCGATTTACTGTGTCCTTACAGCAAAGTGCCACATTTGAATGCCTTGAGAAAACATGTCACCTCATAACTCTGCATGTTCATGATCGTGTGGCACGCATCACAGGAATGAACAGCCTATGAACTTCTGTCCTTTTTTCCCCTTCAGTAATAGGCCTACAAGTTGATCAGCATACTCAACATTCAAGTATGCTGTGCTCACTAAGTGCTACAATAGTATATACTGCCCTAAATTTAACTTCATTGTCTAGTCAATGAGAATTTTACACTCTTTTACGTAAATTATGTTTATCTTCTGACTTGTGATGTCATATTCTTAATGTCTGTATAGTCACTTGTTAATGTAAACATCTGATTGGGGTTCCCTTGACCATGTGCAGGCCAGATATGAAATATTTCCCCTCAGCCCTTTTGAAATTCAGAGCATCTGTGCTATGGGGTGGGATAGCGGTTGCCTGAGGACAGTGTGAAGTCGTTGTTGACCGTTCATAGTTTTTCCGTGACTCTTCATCTGTATGCTAACTACTGCTTTACCATATAAGTCTGGTCTGCATACGTCAATCTTCGCATTTCATAATCCGCGCAACAGAAAGGTTGGCATGGGTTTTGCTGTGCCCAGTGGGCTGCCGGTTTTCGGTCTGTCGTTGTTTCTGGCTGGTGTTACATTTGTGAGAACTGCTTCATGACTCTAGTTTAACAGTGTGAGGTCAGGCAGGCATGAGATCATGAACTGTATGAGATCACTGTCAACAAAGGGATTTCTGCTGGGAGGGTTAATGGATTCACTGGTCCTGCACTGCCCCCTGTGGACGAAGGGGTAATTGAATTTCACTTCCCCTACACTAGTTTAAAGCCTATTTTTTAGTCTATGGTTTAAGTCATCATGTAATGGAAATTCACCCTATTTTGTAAATGCTTGCTATTAAACCATTTGTATTTTTTTTACCTCAGTTTTAATCTTCCAAAGTTTTCGCATTTAAATCTTCCTCCATCCAGTGGGTCAACAACAGTTGGATAGAATCAAGTATGTCACGAAAGAAAAGATCTGTTTGCTACTTCAGTATGATGATTTTTATTGACTTTCGGTGTGGTGAAGTTGTTTAAATCACATGGGCTTTAAAACTAAGTACACACTAGGTAGGCCTGGACTACTTATGATTATATTATTGACTTGAATGCACTGACATTATTGGATGAGAACCGAACTGAGCTGGATGATGACATCGCCGTTTTCTCCAGAGCCACTTTATAGATGAATTGAACTCATTCCATAATTGATGAACCTTACAGTTATTGAAGTGATTTCAACTTATTGACTATTGCTTTACAGCAGAATTGAATTCTGTTTGCATCATTGAATCATTATTTTCCCGTTATCCCTGTAAAGCTGCTTTGAAACAATCTGTATTGTATAAAGCTCTCTCTCTCTCTCTATATATATATATAAAGGTGACAGTTATTGAACCAAACTGAACCATAAAGGTGACTTGACTATATTAATAGGTCTGTAAGAATATTTTGTATGTGACAGATGAATCAACGTAGAACATAATTTGACAGCTGACAACAAATGCTTATATTTTTATAACAGCAAATATTCAAACAATAATTTTAGTCCCTTTTTTTATATATAAATTTATTATATTGAAATTAGCATTGAGACAAATTCTATAAAAACCTTTCAACATATTTCTTCCATAACTTGAGAACAGCTAAAAACTTCAGAAGCCTATTACAAACCATTTCCTAAGTGATTAAAAAGATTAAAAGTTATAACAAGTTATATACAGTATATATACAAATGAAAACATTAAACGTCATAAAGTTCAAAACATCATAAAAATTCATTAAAAAAATATCTAAAAAGAACACTTTATCGCTCTAAGACCATGCAACTGCTATGCGAGATTATTTACATTAAAATAATAATTACAGTAACCAATTATTCATAATCATCAAATATTATGTACAAGTTTTTCTGTACTGTTCTTTGTTATGAATACAAAAACTAGCCTCTGAACTGGCTTAATATATTTCAGCATAACATCGTGCTCAGTTAAACCAATCTAACAGCTTCAACTTTCTTGAGAGCATGTATGTTTGCACATGGTGTGTGTGTTCAACGGTTCATGGTAATGGTGATGACTCCAAACGGTTCAGTCTGATGTACACTTAACTTCAGACCACCGAGCACCTCTGTAGAACAAACAGATCACATGTCACACACATACATACTGAGAGACAGTAAAAAGCAAACACCAACAGGATGTCTCGTGTCTTACCCAGTAGTTTGTAGAACAGATGAGCTGTAGTGCTGCGCTCGGCCTCTGGAGGCAGCAGTGAGTGAAAGGAGACCTTCTCAAAGCGCTTGATGAAGCCAATGATCAGTCTGTATGACAGAGAGAACGACTGAAAAAAACCCTGATCATACACACACAAAGACATGTTCATCTACTAAGCGCCTCTTCGAACCTGAGCAGGTCAGCGGTGGTGATGTCACTCATCTCGGGCTCCGTCTCTCCCTGTGGCAGTTCAACATGTTCCTCTAATATCACCTCCATAGACACAGGAGCCTCTTCTATAGGAGACCTGCACACATAATGTTTATTTCACAGGATTTCATGCACCAACAGTTCTTTTTGTCTGTACCGCATGACGTACAACTGCAGTCCTGAATATGATGCATGTTCTGACATTTAGTGTTTATTAACTGTCTATTTTTATGCATTTTGTTTTTCCTTTTGCAATTTCTCACCATCTGTTGGTGGGAGTGATGTGGTCACTCTGAGACTTGTCTCCTTTAGACACATCCAGCAGCACGTCAGAACCAGCTGGACAAACACACACACACACATTCTGGATTTTAATGTCTGTCCATAGACAATGATTTTTATACTGTATAAACTGTATATTTTCTCCACCAACCCTAATCCTACCCCTAAACACAACCCCCACAGAAAACTTTCTGCATTTTACATTTTCAATAAACAAACATAATTTCTTCATAGGGACCAACAACAACAAAAAAAGTAAAAAAAAAAATCATATTTAACTTTTTCTTGTGGGGCTATTTGGTACCCGACTGTGGTTTGAGCATAGAGGCTAAAGTCAAGCAAAAAGTGCTTTGACACTGTCTTATACATTTCACTGAAATCGCATTGATTTTATTATGATAAGGGGAGCATTTGTTTGTCACCTGAGAGCTCAGACAGAAGCAGAGCCGCCTCACCAGACTCCCTGACCACCTAAACATGCACACACAGAAACACACAGAAAGGAAAGCGAGTTAGAGACAATCTTGTGAAAAAGTACACTTTAGCATACTATTAAATACAGCATTAATTATGGAAATAATGTACTTTAAAAAAGTATTCTTAAGTGCAGACTGAATGTAATGTTTTCGGACACTTGAATACTTAAATTGTATTTTATTAAATGCAGATAGCTGAACCTCAGATTTTGTTACCCACACAAGTAGGACTTATGCAATGTTATCTTTTATTTTTTATAAATATGTCTACTTTGAAATATGGTTAAAGTGTACTGTCGAATGTACTGAGAAGTATTTTTTGGTAAACTACGGAAACTTGTATGTCATGCATTTAAATACATTTGTTACACATTTGTTATGATGATGTTGCAATTCAGTACATTTCAAATATATTAACTTTAAATGTAATATTGAATAACACAGTTAATATTATAACAAATCAAGTACTTTACATGCGCTTTAAAGTGAAACTTTTAATTAGACATTATTACAAAGTGCTCTTTTTAAAAGTGTACTTCAGTGTGTTAAGAAACAAAGTCATGAAAGTGGCCTTTTATTTCATATTTATTTTTGTGTCATTTAAAAAAATGATACTTTTGAGGTTTGGAGTACGCTATAGGTGTCTTTTAGTACACTTAAGTGGCATTTTCTTTTTATTAATATAATATCAATACAAGTTTTAAAAAATATACTTTTAAGAGTTGAAGTTCACAACAAGAGCACATTCAATAAAATTAAGTGCACTCCTTTTTTTTAAGTGGTTAGCATAAACTCAATGGACCCTATTTACTTGGTTAGCGCACATGACTAGTCTTGTGGTAAACAATTCATCTGTCCAAGTTAATCCACAATTTTTTTTTGTCTTCGCCATCTTTAATCAAAATCTGAAAATGTACTTCCCATCAGGAATGGCCTTCCGTCTCTGATGACGTCAGTTTGACGGCTTGGCAAGCAGAATGAAACGCCTACTTTTCTAAATCCAATCATTTCCCAGCCAGAAAACAAGCCACGTCCTCTATTTTTCTCATTCAACTTCCGGTTAATGTAGTGTTTAAAAGGATAGTTAACCCAAAAAGGTTCTGTCATCTTTTATCGTTCTGTCATACATTTTCATTTCTCACATGAGTAAAAGATAATGAGATTCTCCTTTTTGTTTGAACTAACCCTTTAAACATCAATAGTGTGCATGCTTATAAAATGTGTGTGCATGCTTATAAAATGTGTGTGCCTGAAAATAACCTCGAACTCTCATTTGAAATGATTCATAAATCAAGTCTCTGACTCCGACATGACCAGATAAGCAACCTATGACTTCTTCACCTCTCTGCTAGACTCCCGACTCCTCTCCGTCCCTCTTTCTTTCTCCTTGTCCAACTGCTCACCCTCCTCCTGCGCCTGCCGTTTCCTGCGGGGACGGGGGAGGGTGGAAGAAACGCTGGAGGATTTCCATAGTTTCTGGAGATCAGGGTGGATGAGCACTGCAATGCAAGGTCGATCGTTATAAGAGTGGAGTGTATTAGTGTCCACGTCAACTAGGGTTGCCAACTTCCGAAAAGAAAAATGCGGGACATATTACTATATTTTGGCGATTTCGGTTTTGTTGACGGGGTGGGGGGGGTTTTGGGTGGTCTCTCGCATGGCAAAGTCTCTCGCTCTCTCCCTCTCTCTCTGCGCTACATGGTTTGGCGCTGACGCACATACAGCTATGTTCTGTCTCGCATGCGCAGCTCTAGATTCTAGGAGATTTGAACTAATTTACGGGTCGTGTTGCTGTTGTATCAGTCAGATCAGTGTAGCACTCAATAATCGGGACAAGAGGGGTCCCGATCGGGACAAATAAATTAGGCCCAAAAATCGGGACGTCCCGGCTAATTCGGGACAGTTGGCAACCCTAACGTCAACACACAATATGTGACCCTGGATCACAAAACAAGTCACAAGTCGCACGGGTATATTTGTGGCAATAGCCGACAATACATTGTATGGGTCAAAATTATCGATTTTTCTTTATGCCAAAAATCATTAGGGTATTAAGTAAAGATCGTGTTGCATGAAGATATTTTGTACATTTCCTACCGTAAATATATAAAACATTTATTTTTGTGAGTGAAAGCAGCACAAGCGCAAACATAAATGGACAACTTTAAAGGTGATTTTCTCAATGTTTCGATTTTTTGGCACCCCCAGATTGCAGATGTTCAATAGTTGTATCTCGGCCAAATATGTTTCTATTTATATATTTGCAATATATCCAAATATATATCCTAACAAACCATACATCAATGGAAAGCTTATTTATTCAGCTTTCAGGTGATGTATAGATATAAAACTTTTTAAAAAATGCACCCAAGTGACTGGTTTTGTGGTCCAGGGTCACATATCGTTCTGTTTATTCTAAGCATGCGCTGCGGTTATGTCGCATGCCGCTTTAAATGCTCCAGCTTTTTAAAACAGGATGGATTCTGATTGGCTGTCAATGTTTTTATCTGAAAAAAATTCTGAAAGTGATTCCAACGATGTCGTTTCTCTGTGCCGTTATCAGTATAGTTGTGGTGTGGACTAGATGGTTTGAAATAGTTACTTCGAACTACACTCACCGGCCACTTTATTAGGTACCCCATGCTAGTAACGGGTTGGACCCCCTTTTGCCTTCAGAACTGCCTCAATTCTTCGTGGCATAGATTCAACAAGGTGCTGGAAGCATTCCTCAGGGAGTTTGGTCCATATTGACATGATGGCATCACACAGTTGCCGCAGATTTGTCGGCTGCACATCCATGATGCGAATCTCCCGTTCCACCACATCCCAAAGATGCTCTATTGGGTTGAGATCTGGTGACTGTGGAGGCCATTTTAGTACAGTGAACTCATTGTCATGTTCAAGAAACCAATTTGAAATGATTAGAGCTTTGTGACATGGTGGAAGTAGCCATCAGAGGATGGGTACATGGTGGCCATAAAGGGATGGACATGGTCAGAAACAATGCTCAGGTAGGCCGTGGCATTTAAACGATGCCCAATTGGCACTAAGGGGCCTAAAGTGTGCCAGGAAAACATCCCCCACACCATTACACCACCACCACCAGCCTGCACAGTGGTAACAAGGCATGATGGTTCCATGTTCTCATTCTGTTTACGCCAAATTCTGACTCTAACATCTGAATGTCTCAACAGAAATCGAGACTCATCAGACCAGGCAACATTTTTCCAGTCTTCAACTGTTCAATTTTGGTGAGCTCTTGCAAATTGTAGCCTCTTTTTCCTATTTGTAGTGGAGATGAGTGGTACCCGGTGGAGTCTTCTGCTGTTGTAGCCCATCCGCCTCAAGGTTGTGCGTGTTGTGGCTTCACAAATGCTTTGCTGCATACCTCGGTTGTAACGAGTGGTTATTTCAGTCACTGTTGCCCTTCTATCAGCTCGAACCAGTCTGGCCATTCTCCTCTGACCTCTGGCATCAACAAGGCATTTCCGCCCACAGAACTGCCGCTCACTGGATGTTTTTTCTTTTTCGGACCATTCTCTGTAAACCCTAGAGATGGTTGTGCGTGAAAATCCCAGTAGATTAGCAGTTTCTGAAATACTCAGACCAGCCCTTCTGGCACCAACAATCATGCCACGTTCAAAGTCACTCAAATCAACTTTCTTCCCCATACTGATGCTCGGTTTGAACTGCAGGAGATTGTCTTGACCATGTCTACATGCCAAAATGCACTGAGTTGCCGCCATGTGATTGGCTGCTTAGAAATTAAGTGTTAACGAGCAGTTGGACAGGTGTACCTAATAAAGTGGCCGGTGAGTGTATATCTTTATCGTTACAGTTATCGTCCTTGATGTGATCGGGCCTTAAGGTGCTTCCTGGCTCCTTATAAAACTGCTGAGCCTTTTGATGGTCCAATGGTTTCATTATTGAGATCTATTAAACTGTCCAGTGTGAGATAAAGGAGCTGATGCAGTAGTTTCTCTGTTTAGTTGATAAGTATTTGTGCTGTATAAGTGTTGGAATTTAAAAAAAAAGTGTTTTCTAGAGCTGTTGATGACTTTATGCACAATGATATTAAAACAAGTTTGTATATGAGCAAGCATATCATTTATGAGAGGTACTGGTGTTATAACGTACTGTTACACGGTGTGCTGAGCAGAACTGATGCTGATGCCTTCCGAGAGGCAGAAATACTTAAGAGTACATCAGACTAAGGAAAAAAGAGAAAGAAAAAGAGACAGATGGACAGAAAGAGAATCATATTAGCAAGGGTTGGGGGGGAAATAGATTCACCACCAAAGTAGATGCACTGCAAACATAGATGCCATTTTTTTCAAAAGATCTATAATTTTTTTTAAATATTACATATAATTAAAATATTACATTGACTACCGTTTAAAAGTTTGGGGTCAGTAAGATTTAAAAAAAACAAATGAATAGTTGTATTCAGCAAGGATGCATTATTAAGACCAATGTTAAGCAGCACAACTGTTTTCAACATTGATCATATCAGCATATTAGAATGATTTCTGAAGGATCATGTGACTGAAGACTGGAGTAATGATGCTGAAAATTCAGCTTTGTCATCTAAGGAATAAATTACATTTTGAAATATATGAAAATAGAAAACAGTTATAAAAGTTTTTCACAATATTACCTTTTTTTTACAGTTTTTTGTTTAAATAAATGCAGCATTGGTGAGCATAAGAGACTTTCAGAAATGATTAAAAAAAAAATCAAATTCAAAAACTTCAAACTTTTGAAATATTTTATTTTTTATTAATCTTTTAAACTGTGTTTAATTTAATGTATTTAAATTATTTTGGAATTAACTAAATTAAGGTAAGGAAAACATAAATATTTATGTTATTTTATATTATTTCTATATTTCTTTAAAGTTCAATAGAGTCAAACGACAGGCATCAAAATAGACATAAAATATCGTTTATATTGTTTTCAGACAATTTTTATAAAAAAATAATATTACCAAAGGTTGCCAAAATATAATTTCTATAAGAACATGTTTTAGTAAGGCTTTTATAAGGAATCCAAAGAGCCACTTTAAAGGGATACTCCACCGTTACTAAGACGAGTTGATACATACCTCTCTCGTCTCAGTGCGTGAACTCAATCGCTCTGGCGCGCGAGACACTTTGATAGCACTTAACTAGCCCAGTTCATTCATTAGGATCCAACCAGAGAAGCGACCAAACACCTCCACGTTTTCAGAGAAGCCACCTCCACCCTCTCCGGAGTGATGATATTACTGCGCCGAGTCGAAGTGCTCCCAAGCACTTGCTATGGTATTCCGCCATACATTACAGTTATCCACTTTACACGCTTAGAAAAGCGCAATGTTTTATTTTGTGTCACCATTCTTGGTCGAGTTACACTACTCGTGTAATTGTATTTAAATAGGGAAAACCTGGAGGTGTTTGGTCGCTTCTCTGTTTGGATCCTAATGAATGAACTGGGCTAAGCTAAGTGCTATCAAAGTTTCGCCGCAAGACAGAGCGATTGAGTGCACGCACTGAGACGAGAGAGGTATGTATCAACTCATCTGAGTTGAGGGAATAACATAGTTTAATATGAAAAAACGGTGGAGTATCCCTTTAACTCTTTAAAGATCTGCACCTATATGCTGTTACTGAAAAATTAAGATGCATCAAGAATCGTTTCTGTAATCACACCACGGCTCCCTCAAACTCCATCAAATTAAATCCTGACTTGCCTAAAGATTTCTGGCACTACTGATTAGATTAGTTATCTTTCACAAAGTTCCCACCAGAGATTGGGTTTCAATCAGAGGGTTGTTGATTTGTTGTCGCATTGCATCCTGGGTAATCTGTGTGTTTTGGTCGGCGAAGATCAGTTGCCGTTTGCGACTTCGCCTCTTTGGATGCACAGATTGCTCAACTGAGAGTTTCTGAAAAAGAGGGACAAAACCAGAGGAAAAATGAAAGAGTGAGAGGTTTTTAAACACATTGTTGTGGACTCAGCCCAATGTAACTGTTCTTTGCTACAAAGCTTTTGCGTTCACGCTTCAGAACACATATGGATTATGTAACACTAGAGCATAATGGGCAAGGTAATGCGGACATGGTTTCACACACAAACCTCACTGGAGCGCTCCATCTCGACGTCTCTCTCACTGGCCTCAGTGGTTGGTGGCATGGTGATGGGGGGAGGAGTCATCTCCAGAGCGACCCGATCTAAGGTGACCTCCGTAAGACGCCCATTCCTCTCATCCACGATGCACTCACTGTTCTTCAGTCTGCAAACAACGAGAACGCCATTCAACTCTACTGGCCAGTTCAGGCAAACCTTATGGGCTCCATTAAACTGTGCAGTCAAGGGATTCTTTATTTTTTTTATCTAGTTCAAGGACATTTGGCCCAACAACTGTCATTGTCTGTCCAAACTGATGTTTATCAGTTTAGAACTAGATAGAAAACACCCAACAGCTTTGTTCAGACAGGCAGCGAAAAACTGATTTTTGGTGAAAGAAAAACATGAAACACATGTAAATATATTTTTGATGAAGCACAACGAAAACCACATTCACATGTAGTTTCAAATCGGATGATTTTAATAAGTGAATAAGTGGATGGTTTCAGACACAACTTGTGCATTCATCTGTAAACTACAGTAATGCCTCCAAGCTTATGTTGTCATTTCCACAATGACACTCAGTTGTTGTAGAAACTCTTGGTGTGTTGTGCTGAAGCTTAAAGGACAACTCCGGCGCAAAATGAACCTCGGGTGTAATAACACATTGGTACAGACTAAATCGTTCTCTGAGATTTGTTTTCATGATAATCGAATATAAAGAGTTTTATCTCTAAAAACAGTTTAGCTTATAACGCTAGTATATTGGGCATCGAGTAAGCAAAAAGAGATCGCTAGTTAATACCATTAACAAGGCTCAAATTAGCCCCACACTAACACGGCAGCATAATGAGTGTCCTTACATGCAAACCGAAGCATTGAGAACTTTGTAAGTGTATAGACAGTTTAATAAGAAGATACTTTACACAGACAGTACAGTTAGCGCATACAGACAGGAGCCATCTTGGAAAAAAGTCTCGATCAATCGAACCACGAACACGGTGATACGAACAGTACGTGAAGATATTGAAGATAAGATAAATTATATTTATTTTTTTATTTTCTCTGTTGCGTTCAGTGCTTCTCTTATGCGCTCAGTGCTTTCTTCCGGAAACAACGGACCATATGAGATTCCAAGTCACAGTTCAGCTCACGTATCACCGTGTTCGTGGTTTGACTGATCGAGACTGTTTTCCAAGATGGGTCCTGTCTGTATGCGCTAACTGTACTGTCTGTGTAAAGTATCTTCTTATTAAACTGTCTATACACTTACAAAGTTCTCAATGCTTCGATTTGCATGTAAGGACACTCATTATGCTGCCGTGTTAGTGTGGGGCTAATTTGAGCCTTGTTAGTGGTATTAACTAGCGATCTCTTTTTGCTTACTCGATGCCCAATATACTAGCGTTATAAGCTAAACTGTTTTTAGAGATAAAACTCTTTACATTCGATTATCATGAAAACAAATCTCAGGGAACGATTTAGTCTGTACCAATGTGTTATTACACCCGAGGTTCATTTTGCACCGGAGTTGTCCTTTAAGCCATTACCATTACGTAGAAATAACAAATATTGACTACATTGTCTGAACAAGCAGGTCTTGCTTAATTTCAGTGCAGACAGTCAGTCCTAAAGACACAAAGATCAGAATTGGGTGCAGTGTGACTAACCAAATTTGAATCAACAGCAGTATTTCCATCTTAAGGAACAGCAGTATTTCCTTCATCCATTTCATCTTTATGTCCTTCATCTCATCTTTATGCTACTCACTGTTCTATAGAGACCATAGCAGGATCCATATATCCTGATTTCTCCCCTTCTGTCACCCTCTCTCTCTCCTTATCTTCATCATCTGAGGAAGCATAGAGGAAAACATGTGACTTTTAGACTCAATAAAATAAAAACGAGTTTTTAGCTGGCAATTACAGTCAACTAACTAAGTAATCATGTTACGAATGGGCCCAGACAGTATCTTTTTGGCATTTTCTGTGCTGAGTTTTAGGGTAAATCTGCAGAACAAATATATTTCTAATAGACTACTATTCAAATCTTTTGGGTCAGTAGGATTTTCTTTTTAAAGAAATTATTACTTTTATTCAGCAAGGATGCATTAAATTGATCAAAAGTAAATCTCTACAAAAATATTAAGCAGCACAACTTGAGTAATGGCTGCTGATTCAGCTTTGCATCACAGGAATATATTACATTTTAAAATATATTAAAATGGAAAACTACGGAGCCCCTAAAGGGACCTTTGCAAAAATAAAAATATACAGACTTTCACATGCTCACGAGAAACGTTCGCGTGCACACGAGAAAACAATCGCGATATTTTCTCCTGAGCACGAGAAAGCCTGTATATTTTTATTTTTGCAAAGGTCCCTTTAGTGGCTTCGTAGAAAACGGTTATTTTAAAATGTAATAATAATCTTACAGACCCAAAACTTTTGAATGATAGTTCATGCTAAATATATGTTGTAACTTAACTTGCTTTAATACAGGGTTCCTGCACACTTTTGAAAGTCAAATTTAAGGCTTTTTAAGACCTTTTTAAGACCTGAAGAAATCAAAATTAATACCATACATTAGGGCTGTGCAGTATTGACAAAAAAATATCTTGATATTTTCAACGTTTTGTTGATAATAATTAGATGATATTTTACTGATTGTGTTTTTGTACTGGTGCCATGGCTGGTTTAGGTCTGTGGTTGACAGCTGACTCACGAAGATATTCATATTTTTCATATTCTATGCAGTGGTCAGTTCACAGCAGTGACAGAAATTAATATTTTAATTAAGGGGCAATATTTGCCACCTTAAATTGATTTTTTCAGGGGCATTTTCACCTATATATGGAGATTTTTTCTAAACTTATTTAGAGTTATGCATCACCTCTAATGTCAAATACTATCATTCAAATTAAATTATACAGTAATTATACAATAATACTTAATTATATTATAATCATACAGTACCACTGTTACCAGTCAAATTAAATCATTCAATCAAAAATCCATCTTTGCAGTGCAGAGGTGACAGAAGCGGCATCAGAAGTGGCATTAATATATTTACACTCCATTTACAACTGCATAAATAAAGCTATGAGATATATATTTTTAAATCAATATTCAATATTTAAATATGAAATGATTTCTAATTTTAACATTTTATTTAAAGGGTACTTTAAATATGAAACCGCAGCGGCAAATCACTGTCTTAATAAGTGAGTTGAGGGAGTCAATCAACCGATTCGTTCAAACGGCTGATTCATTCGGGAAAGAAGCAAGTGATTCGTTCAAAACGCGGATTTCAGTCAAGAAATCATCGCTGTCGGTTGCATTGAGACTCTGCTACGGTTTCATTTTGAAATTATAGTCGGCGAAATAAAGGGAAAACAAACAATATTGACAATATTGTGTCTAAAAAGTAACTCAATGTTAACTTATTGTTAATTTAACTGTTGTACAACATAAATATCACACTTGGAATTGTGCACGGGAAAACGGCACTCTTTCTGATGTGATATTCTAATATAAGAACATAATATGATATGAATAATATAAGACAAAAACTAATTTGGGGACATGATTACACAATGATTACAATATCATAATAGACAATACACATCGCACACCATACGCACATAAAGAATGAACTTACAACTGAACTGACATTTACGACCTTTCTTCTCTTTCTCTCCTCTCGCGTGCAGGAGACAGTTATGCTGCCGCGACTCGCGAGTGACGCGAAATGTCACGTGAACTAGCAAATCCACAAAGATAGAATAATAAATAAATAAAAATACGTACGCTAATTAGATAGTTTTAATTTGGAAATCTTTTAGATATGTCTAAATCAAAGTGTCATCTAAAATTTAAGACCTTTCATAAGTAAAAATAAGACTTTATAAGACTTTTTATGGCCTTAAATTTTAAAAATCTAATTTAAGACTTTTTAAGACTTTTTAAGGATCCGCGGGAACCCTGTAATAAATATGTATTTTAAATTCAAAATATATTTCATTTAAACATCCAAATGCCTTAATATATTACAAAATGTACACCAAGGAGCAAGAAAATAGTATATTTTGGGTTAGGAATATATTTAGATAAAAAAAAAATAAAAAAAAGTAAAATGTTACATGTAGTATATGTTGCAATTTATATGGGTAATATATTTTCATATATATATATTTCCCAATATTGCAATGGATGTAGGTGAAGGTACAATGTGTAATATTTAATAAAATGTAGTTCAAAGCGTTCTGCAGACTTCAGTGGGCAGTAATGATGCGCGGATCACGATGGACGCTGCGTATAATCCGAGGGTCAAGCGGGCCAAGTAATAAAAAATAACATTCCAATTTAAATGGGGGTGGGTCGCGGGTGGATGAGAGATAAATCATTAATGTTGCTTTTGATAAAGACATGGAACTCTCTTTTTACGGTAGAATGTAACGAACGTGTGTCACTCCTTTACTTTTGTTTTCAAAAACAATAAATATCTCTTCAGGGAAATACAATCAAGGAAAACATATGCCTAGAGGTCCTCCTAGCGCTCATTATATAAAACACAAAAGAAAAAAAATATTGCTTAATAACTTAACAGCTTTAACTAAAAATACAGAAATTATTCTGATGAGTGTTTTTCAACATAATGATGGCACTAATTTGCAGACTCATTAAACTACGCAGTTGCAGGTTTTAATGAGCAATGGAAGCATTTTACTGAAATAGTTAAAGGGATAGTTCACTTTGAAATTAATTTTTGATATGTTTTAGCTTACCTCCAGTGCATCCAAGATGTAGGTGTCTTTGTTTCCACAGTATCTTCAATTTTGATAATTTTAGGTAAAACCGTTGTTGTCTGTCAGTCATACAATGGAGGTGAAGGGGGTCCTCCTCAAAGAGCAGTCAAAATTAAACATTATTTAATGACTCGTAAATGTAAGTACACATTGATGCCCTAAGACACGAAACGAGTGGTTTTTGTGAGAAAACGAACAGTATTTATATTGTTTTTACCTCTTGTAACCACAGCCATGCCCAAGTTATCCAGTAGCACCTCAATGCAGTACATGAGATCCACGGGGAGGAGTCGGATCAAGATCCAAGGGGTGGAGATGGGTAGGATTAGGGTTGGGTTTAGGGATTAGGGGTGGGTTTAGGGATCAGGGGGCGGAGTTGGGTAGGTTTAGGTGTATGTAAGGTGGGAGGGGTCGGATCTGGATCCGACTCCTCCCCGTGGATTTCATGTTCCGCAGTGAGGACCATCTCAAGTTATCTGAGGGCGCGGACGCTTCCGTGTGTGACGTGTACGCAGACTGGTGCATAGATATATATACCCTAGATGTCGCCTTGGCTAAGGTTTCGTTCCAATGAACTGCCGTCGCCAAGGCGACATCTAGTTTATCTATGCACCAGTCTGCGTACACGTCACACACGGAAGCGTCCGCGCCCTCAGATCACTTGGACGTGGCTGTGTTTACAAGAGGTAAAAACGATATAAATACTGTTCGTTTTCTCACAAAAACCGCTCGTTTCGTGTCTTAGGGCATCAATGTGTACTTACATTTACGAGTCATTAAATAATGTTTAATTTTGACTGCTCTTTGAGGAGGACCCCCTTCACCTCCATTGTATGACTGACAGACAACAACGGTTTTACCTAAAATTATCAAAATTGAAGATACTGTGGAAACAAAGACACCTACATCTTGGATGCACTGGAGGTAAGCTAAAACATATCAAAAATTAATTTCAAAGTGAACTATCCCTTTAACTAGGACGAATCAAGTGCTGGGTATGTGATATGTAATGGCTGTGAAGCGCTGTATGTATATGACAATAAACCAGAGGGAACCGTCTATTGTATATTATAAACTATTGTAAAAATTTATATTCACAAACTTTTACATAATAGTTTAAAAAGTAAAAACTTTTTAAATAAAAAGTCATCAGTTGTAATGTTATTTTTGGAATTCATAAATTGACAAACATCTAAAACTTTGTGAGGAAATAATCCCTTAAAATCTACCTATTAAGTTTTTGTAGTGTTGTGTTATATAGATGCCCATTTTCTCCATATTAGAATTGTTCCACCTAACGCTTTCAGCTCTGTGATTGGTGGTCCTGCTGTGAAATTACAGAGGGCCAAGCCTCCATACCTCTGGATGACAGCATCAACCAACAAGCTAAAGCTTTACTGCTTGAATTGTTTGCTGTGTGGGTAAGTTATTTAAAATCTAATAGGTCACGTGCCAACAGATTTTATTCTGGCCGTCGCTGCAATTTGAGGATAATGAGGATTTCTTACATTTTGTTGTGAACTCTCAAACTCACTGTGCTGATTGCTTGTTACATTTCTTGTCAAAGGTAACTTATGCAGTACTATAGAAGAGGACACGGTAAGCTAGGCTAATTTTAGGCTCAGTTTACTCTTTCCCCAATAAGGGAAGGGGGTGAGAGGGCAAAGGTTCAAGAGTCACGGTTTGCTACTGCAAATGGTTCCAACATTTGCTTGGGCTGAACATATTTATTTTATTGCACGTGTGTGTTCTGGGAAGTTTCAGTGACGGAAACAGTGACTACGTTTACATGCAGCCAATTTTCGGATTATGGTCGGGTTAAGGTCACTATTCGGGTTTCTGAAACATTAGGAATAACCCGTTTACATGCGTGAGCAGAGAGAGTTTCTCCTGTATACATGGAATTGCAATATCCCGATGTAAACGGCGACGTACGGTTAGCGTCAAGACGTACGGACAACCTTACGCACTATGCGTCATTTCCGATTCTTCTTCCTGTATCCAAAGACAACAACAACAGCAGCAGCACGCAGATAATGAATAGTTCGGGGCAGATAGCGATCGCCTTTGTTTGCGCTTTGGTCCTGGTACTGACCTCGCTCCAAAAGTATGCTGTGCTGCGTCTCGCCATGTTTACTTCCGGTATACTGCACGCAGGTTTTTGTATGCGCCGAGAAGTTCCTCTACTCAAAAGACCAAGATTCCTTGCGAATAGAACATGCGCAGAACACAAATCACTATGGGGATATGCCGATGTGCGTTTACATGACCAAAAATTCGGGTTAGAAAAGGGGTACCCCAGGTATCACATCCCGGTTTTTAAAATCCGGGATATGAGCATATTCGGGTTTTTGCCGGTGTTTACATGGCCGTGCGCGACCGGGTTATTGCTAATATCCCGGTTTTGAACGGGTTATTGGCTGCATGTAAACGTAGTCAGTGACAATTTATATTTGAAGGGAGTAAAGCCTGTGTTTAGGCTATTAAGGAAATGTAATTTTGCCAAAGAAGAACTTTTACTTTAAACAAATGTTCATTTAAAAGCAGCCTATTTCAGTGTAATAGAATAGTATCATCACGTTTAACACTGAGAATTTGAGTAATTGTAATGTGACGATCAAGTGCGGGTCGGGTGAGAATATCTAAATCAGAGAAAATCATAGTTTGGGTGGGTTGCGAGTGGATTATTTATTTTTAAATAAATGGATGACGGGTGACGTTAGAGCTGACCCACGCATCTCAAGCAGGCAAAGATTCTGTGTGGCCCTGTGAATGGCTAATAATGACAAATGTTAATTGAGATTAGTATTTATATGTGTCAATCTTTTAGTGCATCCATTTATCTATCAATCTCACCACCAAGATGGAACAGATCCTGCTGTTCCATGAGCATGTCAATCTCATGAGCCGTGGCTTCAGGTAACTCTGCCCCACCAAACTGGAAAATGATCAGAAACATGAGATTGGGAAACAGCATATGAAGTGTGTGGTACAATAAACGCAGATAAAAAGGAATGAATAATAGTTGGGTGCCCATCTGGTGTTATTCGTGACTAAGCCTCATGTGGGTAGATGATCTCATCTAAAACTTCACAAAGAGCCGTATGATTTTTTGTGGGGGCAAATGGTAAAGAAGTGCCGTCATGCATTTGGTTTGGGCAAAGGCTGCGGACACAGACTCAAATATAGATCTCTGTGTGTTTTTTATTGCCAGTATGGAGGAGTGAGATGCAAGTGAAAATCACCTCCGTGCCGAGCACAGGAACCAGCTCTGCATCTTTGATGGTGATTGATTCAGGAGAAGCATTGAGGTCTTGAAAGGGAAAGAGAAGGAAAGATTAGATGAAAACCATAAAGATCAACTCTTTGACCCACATCAGTTCTTGCGATATTTCAAAATCTCACCTTTAGGTAATGTAATTTCCTTTCTGACCGCCAGAGAAGGTGAGGCCTCCATAAATTCCTGTGACAATAAACAATAAATTATTGGCTGAACTGCCTAGAAAAGGTCGAGATTAGACTAATGTGATGTGTTTGCGTTAAATTCACTTTAATGAACTCTACAGTTTGGAAGTGAGTTTTTTTTTAATGTTGCTATTGGATCCAATTCTCTACGATATTCTGGTATTTAGATATAGCTCTAATGAATAATTCATGCAAACCGTATGTATACGCATCAGTTTATCACCTGAGATGACACGTAAGAACTAGGCAGATCACAATCAACCCCCATCACTCCAAAAAACGGTTCCAGTGCCCATTCAGCCTCCTCTAGCTGGAACAGAGAGTCAGCGACATTCAGCACCAACCTAGAGGGAAACACAGTCCCAGAACAGCAACAGTAGTGATATAAACAGCTGTCACGGGTGTATAAAGAATAATATGAACGTCTGTGTCAGAATGAATTACATAAGTGAGACAACATGACAGTGACAACCCTGAATCTGACCTGTCAGTGTCCGGCATGTCAATGTTCAAGTGTCTCTTTGAGCGAAGCAAGCGCTCGATGGTCTGCTGGACCTCCTCTGTGGGGAAATCAAACAGAAAACAATTCACTCCATTTCAATACAATAAAAACACATTGCCGGACAATGTAATGGAATACTATGCCTGCATTCATTTGTTACAAAAGGAAAATGCATTCATGCAAAACATTTAATGTTTTAATTTAAATGTCTATTTATAATGTGTCAAGGTTTCTTGCACCAACGTTTTTATTTAGTTTTTAATTTAGTTGTAATTTTATTTTAAATAACTATTTACCTTGAATAGATTTACCTCTCCGATCCTTGAATAAAATAAAATAAAATATATATAAAAAAATAAAAAAAACTACTATAAATGAACAACAAATACAAATAAATTCAAAATAAACCTAGCTGGTTTTGCTACTGTAACTAAGACTTTTATACTGTATCTAGGTGTAATAATTAGCTAACCTCTGTGTACTGGCATATTTATTATTTATCAGGGTGGTATACTTAACAGAATATTAAATAGGCGATGATTTGTAAATGGCAATGCACTTGTTTTAATATCATAACCCTGATGATTTCTTGCAGCTTATTTTTTATAAATGAATTGGGTTTAACTGATAAGGGAGCTGAAGTTTGTCTAGATAGTGGAAAATATAATCTTCCATACATCACTTTAAGGTCATTTAATATTCAAATGGATTCTGTTTAATTTTCTCCTGCTCATAAATTAAATACCTCCATAGATTAAGCGGTTTGTTCCGGTTGTCCACTTTGAGACACTTCCATATTTAAGGGAGTGCATCTGTTTGCACCTTTACGTACGCACGTCTACTATTCTCTGAAATCTCTGTCATTTTGATGAATGATTTCAGTCTCAGCTTACTTGAATTGTTCCCTTGCTTATCGGTTCCGTTCAAATCTCTAAACGCACTCAATACATGACAATGTGTTTTATAGTTATACTACAGACAGAAGATCTCACAACAGCATTCATCTGTTCCTGAGTGCAAACAGTGTTGGCAGCTGTTTTAAATTTTAATAACTGAAGCAGCCAAATCTCTATTCTGCGGATTCAGCTGATCAATACAAGATAATGTTGTGTGCTATTTGACCATATGGGCTTCCCTCATATGGTCACGTGAAGACAGATCTCAGACTCATTTGGACCAGCTGAGAGCACAAGTGTCACATCAAGTACTTGCATGCATGTTTTGTATTGTTTTGTTGGTCCTGTATTGCACATCCTTTGTGAAAAAGAAGTGTGCTTTATTGTATCGAATGTGCACCTATAGCGTACTTCAAACCTTAAAAGTATAATTTTTAAAAATGACACAAAAATAAATATGAAATAAAAGGCCACTTAAGTGTAAGAGAGTACACTTTCATGACTATGTTTCTTAACATGCTGAAGTACACTTTTTAAAAGTGCACTTTTACATGTCAAATTAATAGTTTTAATCATTGTTTTAACATTTTATTTTGCACGTTATACATGTTAAATGTATTTTGCACGTACGAGGTCAGAAAGAGCAACGGCTCTGGGCCATTCATAAAATGATAACGCTGATGACACATTAACTCAGCACTGTTTACAAATGTCTTCAACATATGGTATAATTTCTGCTAAAAAACGTATTCTTTTGTTTTGGAAGAAAAAGGAAGTTCCAACGATTAAACTATGGTTGACAGAGTTGACTGGTACACTACATTTAGAAAAAATTAGGTGTGCTCTAAAAAATAAGATTTTGTTATTTGAAAAAATTTGGTCACCTTTTATTTATTTTCTGCAAGCTAGTGATTAATGTTTACTATGCCTTCATCACCTGCTTTTACCACTGGATAGCACTTTTAGGTTGAGTTTTTGGGTGGGGTTGGATTTTTTTTTTTTTTTCTAACATATTTGTTAGGATGTAAGTTGTATTTGTTTGTATAGAAAAAAAAAGTGTAGTTACAATGATCTTCTGCTGTAATAGCAAATAAAACAATTTAAACACACAAATGTCTTCAAATTGAAGTGATACCTAAACTAAAGCGCTTCTCCTCTTCTCCTCTGAAGAGATTTGTTAACAACTTTAGAGGTCACTTCCGGTTAATGACATCATCACAGAGTTTACCGGTATTTTGGAACTGATGTGTGAATGGTCTGTCATCGGTAAAAAGCCAGAACGCCGTTGCTTGTGTGAACAGCACATTTTTTAATTTACCGGTAAAGTCGTTCTGGCAATTTTACGGTAATTTACCGGGATTGCTGTGTGAAATTGACTAAAGACAATAGATTTAATTATGAATTTACATAAAAATTTACTTAGGTCTAACTTGGGTGGGTCAAAAAAGAATTCAGCTAAACTGCATCTATAAAAAATTCAAACCGTACCTTTTTATTTAATTGCAAATAAGATGCAATTAAATGTGATGAACTGATTACATTCAGCAGCTCTTTTGGACTACAACGCGATTTTTCAATATCTTAAGAAGTCACAATGTTACTCATTTAAATAATCCCCACCCACGGAATTCGCAAGAGAGTTGGCGAGGCCTGGCTGAGCTGCATTAGAGAAAGACAGTGTTGTTGCTATGTCAAAGAGACACTGTTTTCTGCCAATCACAACACACTGGGCCAGCTAGCCAATCACAGCACAACTTTGTATTTTGGAAGGAGGGGCTTTATCGAAATCGGCGTGTTCGAGCCAAACTGGGGAGAGAGGTGCTGTAATAATGTAAAACATGTGGAAAAATAATGCGTTTCTTGAACAATCAAGCATGAAAACATATTTTAGTACACCGCAAAAACAAAATTAAGACTTCATAAAATTGCACAATAGGACCCCTTTAACAACCGCTTTTGATGATGCACTTGGAAATTTTTCTGATCCTTGACGCGATTGCGGACAGCAATGCAAAGTTGATTCTGCGCTAATTTGATCTAATATTTAATGTTTTTTAAAATGTAGATTTATGTAGCAAATGAGAATCCATAAAATTATTGACTGTATTTTGAGATAAATGTCTTGTTAATGTTTTTCAGTTTTGTTCAAGGTAATTAAAGCAACAGAAGAGGTAATTAAAGCAACAGAAGAATATGTAAAAGTATGGTATTTGGGGTAAAATGCTGTCAGGGCTAAAGGCACAATAATTAACATGATAATAAATATCTGCCTGACTTTTCCATTTGTTGACATGACATGGTTAGATTCAGAATGTAAATATCATATATTAAGTTGGGTGCCCAGCTTAGAGATAATCATCATATTTATGATGAAATCATCATATTTAAAAATAAGATATTAATCATATCATATAGGCCTAATAAAATATCATATTTATTGTTGCTACTGTAAATCTATATTGAATTATTATGGGATCTCATTCAACGCTTTCAGAATCTTTACTTTTTAAAATCAGTTTGTTTCTGTGATGCATGAATATATGAACATATTTTAATGAATTATTAATTAATTAATTAAATGAATATTTATTGAACAAAAATTAATTCTTTCATTTATCAAAATAAACAGAAAATAGTACAAACTTTGCTTAAGTGATTGTTTTGAACAAGTATTAACTTAGACATTATTAAAAACATATTACTATAGCTAAAGTATTTGTGTAAATACTTTGTGCCTTTTGCCCTATGCTGATGAGCCCTTTTACCCCATGTGTGGGTTAAAAGACCCACCTTGCCATTCATTCATAAGATTTTTAAACAAACATACTACTTTTATGATTTATTTTCACACAAAATATGTTACTCCATTCATGTTCAATAAAAAATAAAAATTCTGCAAACATACACTATGGGAGTGGTAAAAAGCAACACCTTTTCCTTAAGGTGTTGTACCATACCCTTTTAAAAGTATACTAACGTGTACTTCTTTTTCACAAGGGATAGTATACTGTTGGTGTATGTTGCTTTGATCAGTTTTAGTACTGCAGTCTTTAAATGGTGTTTTGTAGAATAAATGTTAAGCAAAACTGTACAATCTACACTAGTAGTCAATGTTTCTACAGTGGATGACGACTATCTCACCCAGCAGAAGAGCACACTGGCGATGGTAGACGATGACTACGCCATACTGAAGCTGAGAGGACAGGTAAAGAGAGAAACGGGGCCGGGGAAGACTAGGATGGCTTGGAGGAACCTGGACCATCACGTAATCCACAATGTCCTCACTATAATATATACACAAACACAACGTATAATGATTAACATTTTAAAAAATATGACAAAATAACCTGAAAGAAAGAGCATGATACATTATCACCTCACACTGATATGGTGAATTTTTGAAGAAGAAACAAAGATTTCTCTAACCAAGTGCGCATGACGTTGACCTTGAGGTACTCTCTTCTGGAAATCCTGATGCCTTTAGTGGCTGCCAGCCTGCAAACAAAACAAACAAACGTCAACAAACAAAACTTCAGTCAATGTTTTGACATGATATTCTTGTTCTTAAACGTCCTGTTGACTCAGATTATAGTGTCTCTGTCTAAATATAGGTTCAACTGTACATATTTTATAGTTTATTTTAACTTTACAGAGTTAAGTTTGAGTACATATTTTGTGAGGTTAGCGAGTTTCTAAAAAGTTTTTAAAAGTTTCTAAACGCTAACGTTACCTCAGCGTGGTTAGTTTTTTTAAACTAACATCCAATAAATTAATGTTGGTAGTGTTATTATTATTTATTAAATTCGTAATCGTGTTTATAATAAGGTATACATACCAGATAGTAGAGAAGCAGCCAGTGTGACGCTGAAGCACGTTTGGATAATAAAACATTTTACCTCAGAGTTCGGTTCAGTTCACAAATCTGAACACAATCGATATCTAATTTAAAATCTAATCTGATAACCTTTGGTCACACTTTACTTCAGCCAAAACACGCGGAGATAATGTGAATTTCCTCAGATACGCGCTAAATCCATAACGTTACAGAGATGTTTTTTCTTCAGTTAGTTCTGTGAGGAGTGATTGACAGATGCAACGAAGGCTGCGCCTCAAAGCATAGTGAGCTGCCTACGTAGACATCATCTTGTCGCTGTTCGGGGCTCAAAATGCTGTCTATGTAGGCAGCTCACTAGCTTTTGACACACATCCGATGGTCTGAGGGATTATTAATAATTTTAGACATTTTTAATATTTATGTTACATTAAAGACATAAAATGACTATAACACTCTGATAAAAAAAAACACATTTTACATTTTCTAAACGTATAGTTTAAAAAGGTGACAACAATGACAAAATATTTATTTTTGTGTAAGATTGTCTAATAAATTATGCTACCCTAAATACAATAACACATTTATCACTATGGCCTTGACTGCCCTTGGATTTTGTGGAAAAAAATATATTTATCCTGTCGAAATCTGTCAGTCTGAAGAAAACAGAAATATTTCATTTAGGAACAGTTCATATTTTCCATTAGTCAGACTGTTTGCCCCGCCCATTTAGCGCAAACACTCCGCGCTGACATGTGACAATCCAATCAAAACAGCAGAAAGCCCCGGCAGAATTCGAAGGGGGCTGTCCCGTGTGACGTCAGCTAATTTTTAATGGGAAGTGGGCACTTTCACGCCACGCCTCTGCGTGAAGAATTCTTTAGAGTCCGATTTAAGCAAGTTGAATCTAGCTGCTCATAGAGCACATTTGATCGTCTAGCGGGGCAAGCCGTGGACATGGCCTACCAGAACCAGTATAGACCACCTCAATATAACAACGCGCCGCCGGATCAGAGCTTTTTATGGAATATATTTCAGAGGTGAGTGAAAACACGAGCAGCGATTCCGCATTTGAACGCCTGTCGATTTGACAAGCGCAGCAGGAAAGAGCATGTTCTTGCAAGTCACGTACAAGAAGACACGAAATGCAATAGGCAACTAGTAGAGGGTTGTATAGCTCGCAAAAGCAAATATCTGTAATTTTTTTGTAGTTAGCTCCGCCGCATTTCGATTGCTTTTCAGCGGATAGCAGACTCTTTTCGTCTGACTTTCATTATCAAACCATTCAACACAGTTACAGTTCCTATTGCCACCGAGAATAATCGAATACGCCTTTTTGCGTAGCTTTTAGCAGTTTTGAATACCATAAAATCGCATGTGTGTCTGTGTGTGTGAATATATATATAGCCTATATATAACGTTATATATATGTGTGTGTGTGTGTATGTGTGCGCGCGCGTGTACGTGTGTGTGTGTGTGATTTTACACAAATACACACACGCATATAAGTGAGTGGAGTTTGAGTTGTTTTTGTTTAACAAAGTTGCTCGTCTCTATACTAGGTAATGAATTATGCAATACTGCAGAGGATTGAGCCTTAAGGGCCGTTCACACGGGACGCGTTCTTCTTTCGTTCCAGTTGCGCTATTTTATATTGTTAATGTCACTAATCGCTATACGTAATTTATATAGATCAGTGATTTATGTACACACGGACGTATCTGGCCTTCGAGTCTGTATTGTTGTCAACCGTTGCGATTTTGAGATACCTTGTCAAATTAAATGTAGCCTACTTCAACTTTCGTTTTGAACTCAAGAAAAGAACGCATAAACGCTCCTTTAGAACATTTCCCTGCCGCCAAAACACTGAAACAGATTTAAGTCAGTCAACGTAACCTAGCAACATTCATATTTGAACTAATATAATATCACATAAAAACAAACTGATTGTTCCTTGGTCATATGACTCGGGAATGTCTAAAGGTGTTGTGAGTCACCAGTGTTTCTTACATATGAGTCATCTGAGTTTCCATTGACTATATTGAACTGCAAGGTGAATTGTGTCATATTATGGTTGGATTATGATTGCTAGGTGTATATGACCTGGTTGTGTATGTGGTTGCACGGGTTTTCAATCTTTGAGAAGCCACACACCTCCAATTATTATCATCCTCGTGTGAAGGAAAATATGTAAAAGACAGCTATACATAAATGCCCAAACTATATTAAATATGTGTAAAATGTTATTTGGGAAATATTTAATTGCTATTATGTAAAAAATATATATAAAAAATGCTGGGTCGTTTCAACCAACGTTTGGGTCAAATATTGAGAAACCCAACCTTTGGTTTACATCTTTTAATTACATTTTTAACCCAACGGTTGGGTTTGTCCATATTTGACCCACACATGGGTTGAAACAACCCAGGATTTTTTTTTTAGAGTATAATGTTAGATGCATTTATTTATTTATTAGAATAAAAATGTTAATCACATTTTTATTTTAATTAATTAATTTAGTTTAATCATATTTATTTATTATTTATTTATTTTTACAACGACTCTAAACCCGATTTTCCTTTTGTTGCTCCCTGGGGGTCCCTGGACCCCAGTTGAAAAACCCCTGGACTTGATGATGGCTGCTGTGATGTTATTGGGAAGTGAGTGGAAAAAGTTCAGTTGGAAAGCCTACTGAAACTCTGGGAAAACCAAATCCCCTCACTCACTTAGCTGTAGACGTAGTTCGAGTTTTTTCCACTTTCCATTTAGGTAAAAGCAAGTAATGATCCAGATGTTCCTGTTCATACTTTCCTTGAATGGAAGTTCTCACTTAGTCAGTCCAGTTAGTAAATGAAATCCAGGGATTCTCAAACCACTTCTTATCAGAATTGACTGGTACACTGTAAAAAGTAATACCTAGATCTAACTTATAAAAAGTGAGGCAAGTGGCTGCATTGGATGTTTTGTGTTGATTCAACTTGCAGCCTTTTTTAAGTATATTGAACACTTTAACATTACTTTATACAAACGCAACAAAATCAAGTTGAGTTAACTAATAGTACTAGTATTACTCAGTTAGATAAACCTACTTTTCTTGGTACAGGTAACTTATTTATGGGTTGCTACAAGTAACCTGTACTCATTTTAATTAGGTTTTATGAACTTTATTTTCTTAGTAAAATTAACTTAATCATATGTGAATAAACATTTTAATATAATTTTTTTAATTGTCAATAACAATTACAAATTCAATTGAAGAAGAAAAAGATGAGAAGATAGATTGAAGACAATATTCAATTTATTCAATGTCAAGCAGTGTCACTTTTAACAGTGACTACAAAACAGCAAATAAATGTGGCCGCACATGTACACTCTAATATAAAACAAACACTGTAGAAGTGTATTTTCAACCTGTTCTGAACAGTACAGTGAAATATCCAAACTGCCCAATCTGAAATGTTTGGATCAAGGTAAATGTGAGCCATAACATCACATTGTATCACACTGGAACTGCAATGTCAAAAATGACATGATGATGGTTTAGGACGCACAGGGTCCAATCCTACAAAAAGCCTCTGATATATCTCAAGTATACACCAGTTTTGAGGGAAACTTGAGGTCGAGAGGCAAACAGGTTAATTTCAAACAGGAGGCAGCATGCTTTCAACAGGTTTGGCACACCTCTGACCACGGGCTGTCCTTATATGATAATCCCAATCGTGTCGGGGTGATGGCACATGTACATTTTCAGTAGGCAACTCCCAAGCTCAGCGTGCACCTCTGTTTCAGCCCGACTCTATTGGTGGAGACAAAAAAGAAACAAGAGTTTGGTCAGACAAATAGGAAATGAGATGAATATAGCAGACAGGTAGAAGAGATAAGACACAAAGTCCAAATTGTACTTTTGTTGCTAAAGGTGGTGGATACAAGATGGATACTGTGACCAGAGTGAAGTCTACCATGACAATGCCATAGAGTGTGGGTACTAAAATATCATGATCTATTCTAGCATGAGTGTTGTATTTTTCTGGTTCAAAGGATGCATTACAATAAAACAAATGCAATTGTCCTTGCCTGTACCTGATTGGTCATCACATTACTGTTAATTAAGCTACAGAGTTTAAATATCTTTCGAGAGCAAACGTAATCACCCCATATCATCACAATATTAATAAACCCACAAAGCAAAATTATGTCCAAAAGACATCTTTTCAACGTCTTTGTCACAAAGACGTACATTGAAAAGACGTCCACAGAGGAGCCAGAATGAAAGTTTTTACGACTTTTTTTGAGGTGTTCTGTAATGAACGTTCACGGAAGCTCCATTCAAGGTTGAAAACTAGTTCAGATGTGGACAATTCTCAACATCATTTAAGGTCTCATTTGGACAATTTATACTTATTTTAGACCAAATAAACACTCTCAGGATATATTAAATTAAAACTCACATTTATTTCAATGTAATTTCCATGTGTAATTGCAAAGCAATTCACAGACAGTGAAGTTTCTTTTCATGATTTTTGGACAAACATGCACTGACACCTTTAGACAGCTTGGCATCTGTAATTTATACATATTTGGATCGTGAGAGAAATCAGATTCGAACCAGGGACCTTAAGCTGCCTGCCCTAAGTAGACAGTAATGATTTCATGATTTTTGGACAAACACACACTGTCTGTGAGTTGCTTTGCGATTAGAAATTACGTTGAAATAAACATGAGTTTTAATTTAATGCATCCTGAAAGTGTTTATTTGGTCCAGAAACTGTTTAAATTGTCTAAATGAGACATTAAATTACATAAAATATGTCCACATCTGAACTAGTTTTTAAGCTTGTATGGAGGTTCCCTGAACGTCTATTGGACTTACAGAACACGTATAATCTGACAAATCAGTTTGTCTTACCTGGATTTGAAGTTCGAAGACCCCAGGTAACAAAAGTGCTTGGGTATCTAAAGACCAGGAAAATGTTAGATGTTAGAAATAAGGTTAAAAAATCAGTTGTATATGTAACTTCTTTAAGTAATAGGTTAGAAATAGTTTAAAAATCTAGACCAAAAATCTGTCATTAATTGACTATGCAGCATTAAAATAACGTGGATCAAATCTCTAAAATCAGACAGACTACTAAACATACATCTCTACAGTCTAATCTGTGCATCTGCTTTAGTAATGCAAAAGTATAATAACATAATCTCT